ATCCAGAATTCTGCGTTTAATATTGTTCAAGCTATACAGATTCGTTTAATAGATGTCATTCGAGGAGATACACTTTTAACACTTTTCTAATCACTCCGAAGACATTTCTTCGTTTAGCACTGAACTCCTGGATTTGATAGTTCAAAGAAGTCTAAGACGAATACAGGGAAAAGAAATTACATAAGCCACATCCTGGAATCCTTCAACAGACAAGTATCAGTCCTTCAATTCGAGTCTCCATTAATAATTATGTATGGCATAGCATAATATGTAGGTATAGGTATATATAATAACAGTCAATCATACAAAATTGCGGCAGTGTGCTTTCACGTATAATATAATTAATGGTACACGCCTTAGTTGTGTGATTTTATTGTTAATTAGTAAAATTAAAAACGCCAGGGAATGCTGGATACCACGAGACTTAACTTTTAGTGGGAAACCTTACTGCCCCATAAAGCTCTGGTAAACCCATACTTATGCACATTAATAGGACAATTGAATCTGTCAAATGAGACTTCAGTCAGTTGATAAATACAGGATGACTCATTTGAGGAAGGATAATTTGTTTAAAATATTGGTCTGATTCTACTCTTCCTGTTTTGGAATTTTTATAATAGCAATATGTTTCTTATTATACTCTTGCTTAATATTATTATTATTTACTGGAATAGTAACTTTTTATATGGTATCTATTACCATAAGATTATTTCTTTAAACGAAGTTGTTGACTGTTTTCGCAGTGGTTCCTCTCGTAACACTGCGTTTATTAATATTAGTCCCTGCAATAACTTTTATTGCAATACATTTTTACATCAGTACTTTTTATTGCAACCTTCTTTTCAATATTGTTTGCCACAATACTGCTTGTTGCAATACTCTATACTGTAAATATATTGTTTCAGTGCATCGTGAAAGTCTTACGGCAATTGCCAGTAAAATTCATCAACAAGAACTAGGTATTATCAGTTAAGTAAATTATGTAAAATAATATAATACATATAAATATAGGAAACAGCAGTGTATACAAGTCAAAATATACCCCCCGGAATTGCTGATAAAAAAAAATATTTATAGTAACATTAAAGCAAGATCCGAAATGAAAATGAAATAAAAGTTCTTTACTACAAGAAATAGTAAAATGATCTATGAATTATTACCAATCTTGTTTGTTCTTAATAATAAAACAACATATAAGCTTTTCATCGCCATAGACTAAAAGATAATATTAATAGAAACGTGAAACATATCAATCCGAGGAAATCTTTATACTTTTCCTAGTGTAACATCCTACCAACCTGTCAACTGACCGAATCCCCAGTCCCGCCAACATTGTAATGAAATCACCGACAATTGAAGTTCTCAGTGGAATGCCGTAAATAACAGAAGTGAATGATAACGAAATGATCAATGATATCCGGCGTTCCGTCGCGTTTCAACATCGAACAATAGTCAAACACTTGAGGTTCGATACGATTAGGGTGTTGCTACACGAATTATGGTACACTGAGCTATACAATGATCCGCGATTCTCGTCTACGTCAAACAAACACCGCACCCGGTGGCATCTTCTGTTGGGATGCCGATTAAGTTAACGCTGTGCGGAGAAAAGAGGGCGCACCGACTTACGTGAGTGCGTATGGATAAACACAGCATACATATATATTCAACGTATCATAACAGCACTGTCCAATACCTATAATTCATGTATAACTCTGTATGTATATAAGTAGTCCAATGTTTTTGGTCAATGAGACTCGTTAAATGGTCATTCACCTTCTCAAATCTTTGGTTACGAATCCTACAAGCATTTTGCTCTTACATATGTTCAATACATAGTTACTGCGCTTATGTAAATAGTTGAAGTGTTACTGACTTGGCCTTAAGAGTATGTAAAGGTATTAGATTTAGAACCGCAAGTTTATATTTGCCTCTCGCTGTTTCGGATCCAGCGTGCATAAAATTGTTTCCCATTGGACGATGCTGGTATACAAAAGATATATTGTATGCTGCTTATATAAACTGCATTCTGTTATAAGGACACGAGTAATGGAAAGCAATGGCAACGACAGTCAGCCCTTTGAAGGTACAGGTAGTCCCAATGTATACTTTCATGAACGTGGAAACTTTTGTATATCGGATACGATGAAATTAAAATGAACAGTTAGTATTTAAAGATGACGCTTCTCCAAAGGGTTGACGGATATTCAGCGATCCTAGCGTTATTCATACATGATATACTTTATACATTATTTATAAGGGTTCGATAACAACTTCATCCAATCTAAAATATCTCTGTCACTCTCCGAGCACTATGGACGAAATTGCGTCGAAAGTTGTGTGTATCACCTGGAGAACATTGGACAATGGAAAGGAGCAAGGTAGAATGTCAGCCAGAGTGTACCGCGAATCTCCGTTTCCCATAGTGTTCCGAGTGACAGCAACAATCAAGGTGGACAAAATAATGAGCTCTTACCCTGTGATTCACTAGAAATTGGCAGCCGAAGCCCGTCATCCTCCTCCTCGATTCCCCTTTCGTTCATGAGATATGTTAGTCATGTTGTACGACAGTAGTCAGGCGGATCACAAATCAGACACAACATTTCCTTACAATAAAAAGTGTAGAATTTTCGTGAATCCCATGATGCTCCATATTCTCTCCGGGTGAACGAGGGGGAAGCCCAACTGTCAAGCTCCAGTGATTCGGTTTGCACGTTACATAGCTATTTCTTTACACACAACGATACCAACTAACAATAGTAAGTGATAATAATCATTACTCGTGGCCACGTCGTTGAGACCGTGGAACAGGGGAATCCCGGATTAACAACGGTGATTCCCGAGCTCGTCCCCCCACCCCCAGCCCACCCGAAAACCCCCGAAGTGTCTCTTCTTCCTCACGTACACAATAATACTGGCTATGTTTAGTCGTTTACAAGTTACAATTAACTCATTACTCGTAATTATTATCGTTTCTCGGTGAGTTCGACTCCTCTTCTCTGTCCTCAATTCGATTCACGTATCCTTTCGTCCCGTTCTCTCCCTCCCTTTCACTCGTCTTCTCTCTCACTCCCTCTCTCTCGCTCTCCCTTTCTCTCTGTTCGTCGATTTGCTATTGTCAACATGTACAAGTCTTGGAATCGGTTCCCCCGGCTCTTGCCGCGGTGAAATTTATGTATATTATGTATAACAGTAGCGTCTGCGCGCGCATACGCCACGCCCCCATCAGACCACGCCCGCTAGTCGCCGCCCATCGTTTCACCGGCCAATGGGGACGCGTGATGCGTGGACGCAGCGTCCGTGTATCGCCCCCAGCGGTTCCAGCAGTTTGTGTTCTGTATACGAGGGGTAGGCTACCCGCTACAAATAATAGTTTTTTTTATCAAAAGCACATGTATATCGTGGCTACCCTATGTGTGTATATATAATATGTATATATATAATATATATATAGTATATTGTATATAAACCGAATGCCGTATCTGTGTGATTTGTTCGTTCCGTCTCTCTTCCGTATCCGTATATATATATATATATATATTCCGTCCTGTGTTCGTGTCCAGCGGCGGCCATTTTGGTTTCGTCGGTCAAGCTAGGACTCCGAGTCCTTGGCCGCCTGGTCCGCAGCTAGATGCTGCGTCTGGAAGTAGTGCTCGGAGATTCAGAAGCCATGACAGGCCGGAAATAGCTTGAACTCTGGCGCTGGATCGACCGAAGAAGCGTCAGAGCCTCCGTTTGGTTGCAGCTGATTTAGATCCATGATGGATCATCTTTCCCCTTGGGGCAACGGATCTAAACGCAGTCCAGGCTCCTCTTTTTCAGTTGTCCGTGTGGTACTGAGGCACGGGGGATGATTCGAGATGTTCCTCCAAGATTTTCCGGTTCCCCCGCTGCTCCGAAGTCAGGTGGCTCCCTCTACTTCGCCTCCGATCGACCGCTTGGGCACCACGGCAGGGTAGCAAAGACGTTCATCCTCGGAATCTCGTTTTGTGCGCGAAGAAATAAAAAGGCTCGCAGTCAGTCGAATTTTGTGCAAGGGATCGCGAACTAGGAACCAGTTTCTTGCATCTTGTACAGTCTTTTTTTGGCGGTTGCGAAGTCGTCGACGCGCGTTGGTCGGAGATCCTTGGTAACCTCACCGGCGCGCGGAGTTCTCTTCGTCGATGGACCAGCTTCGTTCATCGTGCTCGCGAGAATGAGTGACGAACACTCGCGGTATGAAGCAGTCGGGTTTGATCGTGAATCTCAGCGTTGGATGTCGCGTTTCTTCGTGAAGATTCGTTTGAAGAACAGTCGCGGTGGTCCCATTATACGCGTCGTTCCGTTCTAAGGAGGTTTGTGATCGCTCTTGTTGTGCGTCTCGCGACAGGATTTTTCAGCCTTGGATTTCATGAGTACGCGATGGAACTTTACGCGCCGACTACCGTAGAAGCGCGCATAAATATTTGAAAACACAACGTTACAACGGAGAAACGTATCTTTTCTTTTTTCTAAACGTACTAACAGCAATAATATTTTTTTCTTCTTTTTTTTTAAAGAAACCATTGACTAGAAAACGGTAAACACATTTAGCGACTAGTTGCTCGAGTCTTTCGAGCTGTTCTGGGAACAGCTTCCATCAAGAATTCAAGTTTCGAACGTATACAATAAAATTAGGTGTACGAACTCTTGTTGCATCAGATCTCCATGCTAGAAACTCATTTTCTTTTAGCCCTCGTTGGGAAACCATAAGAATTGTAGACATAGAAGATAACTCTTAAGGCAATTGCTCGACGAAGGATTCTAGTTTCCCAGATTATTCTAAACTCTTCAAAGACACGTTATCCCAGAAACGAATGTTGGGTATGTAACAGGTCAGCGGATCAACCTAATGATCTCGAGAATGAAAAATTGAATTTGTTCAAACGAAGATACCCAACAAAATTCTGATCTGCCAGCAAGGTCTTAAGAGGTTACTTCCATTCAGCAATCAATGAGTAGTTTAAAGTAAGTATGCCTACTAGTAACGAAACCTTTTCAACGCATCAATAAACTGCCTGTTCCAACAGGCTGGTTCCTTGTTTAGAATATTCATGAGTAACACCTCTTAGGTAAACTGTACTCATTACTAGGGTTGGGCATGGATTAATGAACATTTTCAAATTGTTCCTTGATCATGGAGAACTAACAATAAGATTGGTCATGGTTCAGCAGTCATGGATTACCCTTGCATCTGGGAGAAGAGTAACACTGAACCTAATACGCACAAAATAGATACAAAACGGACTAGAAGTCAGAAAGATCAATTCAACAATCAACAACCAATGACTAGCAACCAACAGTTTTAGTCTCTGACCAATAATCATCATTACCAATCAATCGAATTAGTCGCAAAGATTTAATCTATCAACGAACCATGTCTCAGGCTAGATATTCACCGTTCGATGCCCAACGCCGCATCTCATACTCGTCAGGATTCCCATCAAAGAATCTTTTACTCGGATAATCGTTTTCCAGGAAAAAGCAAGAGATCCTTTGAATCGTTAGTCAGATTAAGTTGTTCAAGCTATTTAGAGCGCGCCGCTTCGAACCTATTTCCTTGATTAACAAAACTTCAATGCGTCTTGGGTACGTGCTGGTGTCGATCGTCGTCGCTCGCCTCGGCGTCGCCCTCGACGCCTCTCTCGCCTTCTTCCGGATGCGGTGTGTTTCCTTCTTCAGTGTCGACGCTGCTCGTCGGCGTGATCTGCTCTGTTCCAGGACCAGTCCCGTCAGCCGTGACCCCGTCGTTGCTCTTCTCGAGTCCCAGGCCGCCCAGGAGGCTCTTGTTAATTGGCTCCGGCGAGGCCTCTGATTCCTCACTGCTAGGTGAACCGGGTGACGAGACTATCACCTGGGCAGACAGAGACGCCACACCGTCAGCGTCGTTTCTCGTTAATTCTAGCGTCAACGTGGTTCACTAAAACAGTGCTGTTCAACTCGATCTCTCTAGGTTACAAGAGCTACCGTGGGCGCCATCTCTGCCCCCATTAGCAGCGCCACACTTGAGTGTTCTGTGCAAACAGAATGTGCTGCGTGGACAAACGCGTGACGGGGCGTTGAACTTGAACAGCACTGGTCTAAAAGTAATGCACAACAAACCGTTAACTCTTTGCACTCAATTTAGTAAGTTTTCCGTAACTGGCGGTGGACTGAGTTTACCTGCAAAGAGTTAAAGGCCAGGAGAGTGTGAAGCAGGAAGAACTTGTGGTGTCTCGTGGTTGTATGTGAAGTGAGTTTGATTGGTGGGTTCTTATGAATGATGATGCCACTGAGTGATTATTGACGTGGAGATGATACGTGTCAAGATATTGTGTCCTAACAATTTCTTGTGTAGTTGTATCGAATGTCATGAGTGCTATTGTCAGTGTGTTGTTTAATAGTTTAAAGGATGACAATTAATAGACACTGTACATTTGATTTCAGTTCTTGTGTGTTCTATCCAGAGACTCGAGTATTTAGTGTTTCCATATGTTTGTAAAATCATGGAAAGGTTTGAAGTAAAGGTATCGATGAACTGAAGTCAAGATGCAACAGCTCTGTGATGCAAGTACAACATGCTAGGACACATATATAATCCCTCAGACTGTCAGTGATAAAGTAGTTATCGTGAATGAACGACTAACACATCAGTATTATTAAGAAGGACCATTTGCTCTGTATCTTTCTGTCAATCTACTATCTAACTTTCTGATCTTTCTAATGAGTTCTGATTCTATGTTCCATTTCATCAACCGGTTGAAAGATGAAGAGAATATTAATCTTCTGTCTCCATTACATCTCAATCGAGTCACTTAATAAACAATATTCATTAAATATATTTAATCTCTATCTTCTGATTAAATATTTCTTTAAAGCCTTACAAGTATGAAAGCTTTTTTTACTACAAATACTAATGCTCAGTACTTTCGATCTGTCCTATGTTATTAAGACTGTATGTTCATCACTATTCTTCTAACTAGTTAAAAATATTTCTATGTACAAGCGTAAGTAGTGGTACAAAGTCGTCTAGGAGCAATATTCATTCTTCAGGGACAGTGTCCATGAAGAGAACAGATTATTCCGAATGATTACAATCTATCAAACTTTCCCAGACTCTGTACCACTCATCAGAGGGATGTACAGCTGTGACTATTCTTCAAAGACACACACATACACATAGAGACTGTGCTTGAATATGATGAAAAGTGATGGACGATTGAGTGTGTGAACGCTTCTCTGACATCTGACTCGGGCCATGCAAGTGACAACGACAACTAAAGGCTGATGTAACGCGAATGAAAATGATAATAACGATTATACCTGTGCAAGAAGCGGCGTCTCTGTGCTGTCAGCGGTTTGGTAGAGCCGGCAATTTGCGCTTGCTCTGAAGAATACGTGCCCAAACGAAAAAAGATAAAGAAGACAACGTAAATCGTCACTATAATGGAAAGACGTCGAGACTGGCGGAGCAAAAGAAACAAAAACAATCACCCACCCACGGAAACGGACAGAGAACTGACATCGAGACATGCACGGAGGTGTTTCTGGAGTGCTAATATTTACACGGATTCAACGAGACACGATATCCGCGAGTATTGCCGCGCACGATCAGCTTTTTTGCTTTTTGAACAAGTGTGCACTGTCAATTGAAATATTTCTCGCTTGAAAGGTCCAGAGGAAGTTACTTTTTAAACATGTATTTCGCTAAATCTTCATCGAAGTGCACCGGTCGTTGTCGAGCAAGCAATCAAACTGCAGAAGAAAACGCAAGACTTCACGAGAGCCGCGGTGATCCGTGGAACCAACACGATCCCAATGAATAAATAAGTGAATGAATGATTTAATGAATGAATGAGTGAATGAATGAATGGAGAACTTGAAATGTACGGACGTTTCATTGATTGGCGAATGATTCGACGTTATAGAAGCGCGTCAAGGGTTGTTCTGCGAAGCGAAACAAAGGGAAAGAGTCTTTTACTTGGCCTACCATGCTGTTCACAATACGCTTCAAAATAGTGCATGTAGGACACGGATAGAGAAGCAGATATAGCGAGACGATTGCCGCGATGATTTTCGGAACCTTTCTTTTTTCTCTTCAATTTTTCTGGTCCCTAGAATCGTTCTCTTTAACATACTTCGGGTAGCTAATCAAGGGGACCGAGACCAGAAAAATTTAAGTTCTCGGATTCTTTCACTTCTCTTCTGCCCTCCCTGTGTTTCAGACACATCGTCTAAGTCTAGAACAACTGGGTAATGTTTTCTCGACTCGATTGAAAGCGATTCACGTCTGGTCTGTGAAAGTCTCTTCGTCGAACAGGCGACGACTCTTGAACTGGTTGAAAGCGCTCGCGAGCATCGATAGAAGAAGAAGGGGCTAAAGAAAGGCGAGAGAGATCGAAACGAATATTACCGCGATAAGGTGGGTACTAAGCGGAGACACTGACCTGTCGAGGTTTGACCGGTGGAGGCGGTCGAGTGGAGGGGACGAGGGCTGCGGGTATTGTAGTTGGGGGCTGTTGATGAAGTGAGTGTTGCTGCTGCCAAGGCAGCCCTGTTCGTCCCAATGTTCCCTGCAGTTGGTGGTGCACCTGTTGTTGCACCTGTTGCTGCAGCTGCTGCTGCGACGGCTGCGGCTGCTGTTGCTGCTGTAGTTGATGCTGACTGCTGCTGTGCTCGATTGCTGGCGTAACTCGAGGAAGCGCTGAAGCGACTGAAGAAATCTTCCGAACTGTCTGTGAAATGAGCGACTGATTATCCGGCTCCTATTCTTTTGGTTTAGGTGATTCATCAGGGCCACAATTGCTGTACAGTATCTGACACTAGTAATCTAACAAATGTGGCCACGTGAAGGTGATGGGATAGGGTATAGAAGAACTGATAGGAATGACGACATTACCTGACTTAACCGGCCAGATCTCTAGAAGATACTTCAGCACTGCGATTGGCTGTTGGAAATCCAATTGCGGCCCTGTTTCCTCTGAATGCAGCATCAGGACTGGACCGAAACAGACTGCTAGACTGGCCGGTGACATTTTGTTGCATTGCGACACTACCATTGCTAAGTGGTCCAGCAAGTAAATTAGTGTACACTGGAAGCAAGAATTTTCGTTATGGACAAAGCACAATCATTTTTTCTTGTAAAAGGGAATCTGATCAGATACTTACCCTGTTCACTTTTGGTAAACAGTCTAATATACTGAACATGAGTTTCGCGTTGCCCTGTGGGTCATCTGGCAGGCAGACAGCCAGTGCGTCAACCATCATTTGATAGAGGCACTTCGTAAACAGTGGTTCCGGAAGTTCCCGCAGATAATCCTTCAGCACACCTGAGAAATTGGATACGAACATTGAGAACTGTTTGTTTAGAGTTCATATTACCATCAGTCACTGCAACTTGCCTGTTATAACGTTGATGTCGGGTACATTGTCAGGTGACAGGTTCACTGAACGAGCATTTCTTTCGAAGGCTTCCCTCAGTATCCTCTTCTTCGTCGCTGACCCACAAAGTCTGTACAATCCTGTCATTTACACATCAAGTCATTAGTATCACCATTCAAACAGATACTCAAATCAGCAAGGTCAAAATCAGGAAACTAGGAACTCTTACCAATTATGTCGAGGCCTCTTCTCTCTACCTCCTCTACGCAACGCCAGACGATTATGGGAACGTTTGGCACACCCATCGCTAGAGCAGTGGAAACTCCCCCAGGAACGCCGCCAGTTTTGCTTTCTCGACTCACCTAAGAAATCATCCAGTGTTAAAGGCTCAAGAGAGCTTCGCGAGCTTTGGATCACTCAAACCGCGAACTCACCACAGTGTCTAGGTCAACGCCAAATAGAGGTGCGACTCTGGTCGCCAAGGATATAACCGGAAGTCCTCTTCTCCTGAAGGTTTGCTGAGCATCAGTGTACCGCAGTCTTAAGTAGATCGTGCCACGTGGCTCGACTTTAACAGCCAGCTGGTGTACTGGCGACTCCTTGAGCAGGCTAGCCAGGTGCACAGACCCCTTGTAACAGAGCTTGTGCCTGTACTGCGGGTCCCAGGAATACACTAGTAGGTCCAGCTGTCGGTTACCAACGAGATCCAGCTCGAAGGTTTCATCCCAGTCGAACATCAGGTCACCAGTCCGCACCACTGTCCTCGCTTTGTGCACCCTGTCGCACTCCAACACGCAGTACAGGTCTCTCAACCCGCAGCTAGCTGTTCGGGTAAAACAGAGGAACATTCGATAGGCTTCGCAACTTAGCTGCCTCCATTCTCGTAGCCTCTGAAGCCTCTGGAAGGCTCAGTGTGACAAACCGTGTCTCAGACTGTGTAGAATAATTCGCCGACATTCGAGAGTTTGGGGAAGAGGATCTACCTTAGGCTTTCAGAGAAGACAAGACAAGCGAAGCAATCCTTTCCTCGAACTAAGGTTGTCTGTGCGACTGGTATGCCAACTAAGGGATGTGCACACTCCCGAACGTACCTAAATTAGGCTGACCTGATGGCGTAGAGGGTGTGGTCGCCGCTGACGAAGAGGTTGTCGACCGGAGCCCGCGCCCAGCCAGTAAGTGGACCCCAAGCAATCCACTGACACCGCCTGCCAAGTCACCGCTGCTGGCTTCCCCCAGTGAGCTCAAGAGGGAACTGGTCGAGCTGGGAGTCCCTACAGTGGGTGGCTTTTCTATCTTATACTTGAGGAACTCTGAGGCAAGACAGTCCTCATATTAAAGCAGGATCACATGGAGGACATTAGCGAACCCGCTAGCTGCCTCTACCTACCTGCAGGGTTAATATCTAGCAGTCTTTGATCCTGAGTTCTAGTAGGCGTAGGGGTGGGTATGCTTCTCGTCGACTCCAGGTCCAGCAGATTTCTAATCCTCCTGACCGACGTTGCTCTCTGAGCGGTCGAGCTGGTCAATGATGGTTTCTGGTTGGTCAGTGATGCCCGAGCACTGGATGCTACCGAGGCAGGTCTAGGATTCGTCGCTCCGCGATGGCAGGTGGAGCTGATCGCCGTCGACGCCCTCAGGTTGGCCAGGTTCACCTGCTGCGCTGAGGCAGACCTCGTCGACAGTCGATCCAATGTGCTTGATAGTGGTCTGTAGGCACCGTAGCTGCCGTACTCGCCCTGCCAATGGAAGCAACTGTTGTAATGTTCTTAACTAACTTGTCATAGAGTAACTTAGCTCACAAGTGGTCGAAACCTTAAACTAGAAGTTTAATTAATTATGTAAGAAAACAAGCAGTCGGACCCTCAAAATGTGCAACAGCTTTCAACTGGATCTATACCTGATTCGCAGCTGCATGAATGTTCTCCGCGCTATAGGTGTAACGTGGTGGCCTGGTCGTAGTTGCCCTGATCTGCTCGTACAGCGCGCTCGTGCTCGGTGTTCGGCTCAACCATGCCCTGTACTCGTCGGATGTGAACACACTAGGCGATGACGGTATTCTCCCTGTTGTACAGTCACGTGACTCTGTACCGTCCGCTGGACTAGTTTAGTAACATTCGATAAAATCCGTCTACTACCTCTGTCACGTCGAATGGAAGGCAATTCAGGCGCCGACAGTGCCCCGTCGCTGTCCTCTTGATCTATCAGCCCTGATGCTACCGTGCTGAGCCCGGATCTGAGGCCAGGCTGCTGGGGCAACGTTCTGCCACTGCGAGGCAAGGAGTTGGATCTCAAACCTAAGTAAACAAACAAGTTTGACGATGTTACAACACTTTAGGTGAATAATTTAGCCCTTTGCACTCGGAAGTTTCTCATTAGAATTATTTAACATCCTTTGACACGGCGAAGACGATATTCCTTGAAACTAACTCGAAGGGAAATTACAAGTGTATTGAGGAACAAAGCTATTTTATTCCAATATTTCACGTATCGAGGCATTATACAAAATTCAACATTAAATATCAGATATTATAGTTTTACCGCGTCAAATCAAGTGGTGACTGAGAATCGCCTTCCGAGTGCAACGCTTTAAGTAACCGAGAAGAACTGACCGGAGGAACTCTGACCAATTTGCGACCTGGAGAGGGTCGCTAAATGAGACACAGCGCTGCTTTGCGATGGATTGCTCATGTTGTGCCTGTAGTAATAGTACGCTGACTTTGGCGAGCTGGAGCATGTCGCCTCTGTGTCTGACGCGTAGTCCAGTGACGGCCGATGCCTCCTTGTCAGGGTGCCGAACTGGCCTTGCCTTTGACTGGCCGATGTGTCTGCTTGGGTACCATACCTCGTGTTATATCTCAACCCCGATGTTCCTAGAAGTTGGTCAGTTCCTGTTATACAAGATTAGATACTTTAAGGTTAATGCCTAAGGTTTTTGAAAGCCTTAAAGCCTTCAGACCTATAGTAGGGGCTTGATCAAGTGACCTAACTTAGGAACAGATATATCAAGGCTAGCCTACAGTAAATTAAAATGATGGATAATTTGTGACTTTGTGATGATTTGTGATTCAATTAACAATTTAGAATCAACATGCAACGCCTTGAAAGTTTACTATACCCTAACTCCTTAAACTTGCTGCCCCACAGTTTGACCAATACTCTATCTTTTCTCAATTTTATTGTACCCTAATATTTTAGACCTATTCTATATTAACACTTCACCGGCCGCTGCCACGTACACGTGACTTCTTTTCATCAGCGGTGATGCTATTTTATCATTCCGATGTTTGTACAGGAACATATATTGTTGCTATTTTTAGAGAAACAATTGCATCCACTGTTCTCTTTTCCCAATTTACCAGATCGTCTTTTGTTCAAGTCTCTTAAGCGGATGTTTCTTCTGTTAGTTTGAAACTGTCTTTCGCTACCTTCAAATCTCAGAAGTTTAGATCTATTATAAAATTATAAAATGTTTTTGAAAATGCAGTAGAACCTGCCTGATACTCGCTGACGCCAACCTAACGGCGATGCGATAAACGTGTGACCAGCAATGTGTTAGCACATTGAGCGCAACGTCAGTCCCCGGGACTGACAGTGAACTTTTCATTTGGGCGACATCGATGCGTGACACCGGCAGTGTCAAGGTTAAACAATAAATGTTGCAATTTTAATAAAGTTTTATTGAAACATCGTAAGCGAAGTACCATAGGTCAAACGAACATTGTATTTGGACATTTGACCGCGCTCAACGTGTTAACCCCTTGACGTACAAATAAAACCGAATTCGACGCGGCTGGCCGGCAAAGTGTTAATTAATGGCAAGTTCAATGAGAGTCAGCCAACCTGACTTCAAGCTGGATCTGAGCAGAGTGTGCCGAGCCGGAGTGGTTATGCTCGTGTAATCAACACGTGGCAGATGCTGGTCAGAACCACTCCTGGGCATGATCCTTCCGGTGCCCGAGTGCTGGCCGTATCCGTAGTGCGATGATTGTGTCTGGCCGGACAATCTGCTGCCAACCGACTGCATCCCAGCGCCAGTAGACATCCGGCGACCGCCATTCGAGTGCATTACCGGCCCCGCGTAAAATGAGTGTACCTAAATTCGTGGATGACCACATCAGTAT